CCCAGCCCACTGTTTTTAATAGGTGTGGGGAGAAAGGACTGTCTTCTGAGGTGGAAACTTGTTGATGATCCTGGCTAGATTTTCCAGGTGTCTGATTATCTTGCTGTTTCTCCTTGTCAGTGGCAGGATCCTAAATAACAGGCAATAAGCATTACTTGTACTGAAACCATTACTTACACTTTCAGATATGAAAAAGGTCACCTTTCATGCTAAGGATCTGCTGTAATTCCAGTCTGCAAAGAGCAGCTGCAGAACAGAATCTCAGAGGGTAGACAGATGGAACTATTTCTTACGCCAGTTGAGATGGGTGCACAAAACTTGGGTAACTACACAGTTATTGTTCTTTTCATTCCCCTTATTATTTACAATGTCTTTGTAAAGTGGTCTGAAGACATTCAGTATGATTGACTCTGTACTTACTCTATTGCCTTGTTATCCATAGAATCATATCATAGAATCATTAAGATTGGAAGGGACCTCAGAGATCATCAAGTTCCAACCCCCTACCATAAGCAGGGACACCTCCCATCAGACCAGGTCACACAGAACCTCATCCAACCTGGCCTTAAAAACTTCCAGGAATGGGGCATCAACAACCCCCCTTGGGAAACCCATTCCAGCTCCTCACCACACTTATAGTGAATAATTTCTTCCTAATATCGAACCTAAATCTCCCCTCTCTCAGTTTAAAACCATTACCCCTTGTCCTATCACTATCTTCTCTGATGAAAAGCCCCTCCCCAGCTTTCCTGTAGGCCCCTTTCAAGTACTGGAAGGTGCTATAAGGTCTTGCCAGAGCCTTCTCTTCTCTCCCAGCAACTGTCTCTTTTACCACAAAAGAGGTTTCTTCCTGATTTGGCCTTACCACTTTCTTGAAGCCCATGTATTTGTGAATAAGAAAACTTAAAAACAGCTGGGCTTTCAAGAGTTCAGTTCTTGTTTTGTAAAAGAGTATTATTCTTGCAATAATAACATCAGATTAAGAAATACCTGCAGACTGTAGATTTCACATGATACTGTGACAAACTGTTTTTGTTCCAAATGACTCTTTGTTACGGAGCCTTTGCAGAAACCTGTTTGCTGGAAGAAGAAAATGCAAGCATTTTTTGCCATTGTAGCACTGATAATTAGCTCCTATCTTGTAAAAGAAGTGATTATGAAAAGCTTCTACATGTATTTCTAGGGATAAACAGTTTGGGCAGACTTTTATTTTAGGATTGGCAAGCTTACAAAGGCAGGAAGCATTTTGAAAAGGTCTTTATGTTTTGCAAAGGAGTGTTGGGTAACATAGTAGTAAAACTGAGCTGGTCATTTAAGGCCCAGCTACAACAGAATACTTCAGTTCTGCTGGAGCAGAATATCCACAAGTTATGTAATAGAACATAATATTTCACACCATAAAAGTGAAAGAAACTATGAAAAAATATTGTTTCTAATCGTTGTGTTTTTACTGGGCTCTAGGTAACATGGCTTGGCTCTCAGTTAAGATGAGGCTTGAAGTATTATCTTTTGGCAGCATGTCTTGGTTCCTAAATGTTTTCCTTAGCTAACCTGATTGTACAATGAATATAGTTTTTGTGCATTGCTTGTGTTTTATTGTCTATGTTTACTTGGAAGAAAATCTTAAGAATCATTCAGTTTAGTAAGCTGATAGCTACCCCACCTTTTTCTGGATGGCATTTTTTTTCTGTCTTCTTTGTACCTGGACTTCTAGGTAAGAATTCAGAACTTTTACTGAAATGTTTTCTCTATTCTAAGGCTGTTTGTACAGTGGCAAGAAAATACAGAGTTACAGCCCGTAAAAAGACACCTGTGGGCTTTGATTCTTGTCTGCAAAGAACCAAAGGGGCAGGCTAAGGATTCACTGAGGAATAACAATATCTGAAAAATAGGTGTTTATGCAAGGAAAAGTACTTACAGCCAGTTCTGATGAAAGGGGCTTGCACTTGGAGATGTCAGCAATCGTGTCAGTTTTGGAGCAGGATGTCTCCTGAATTAAAAACTCCACAAAATGTGCAGGGCCAATGACCCACTGTTAATGAGAGATGAGTGGCAATTAGACCTTCTGCATGTGTCAGGAATAAGGAAGAGTTTTACAGACCTTGAAATAGATGTAAAACTCTTGCCAAGTATGGATGGAGCAGCTTCTACTTGAGGCATTACTGTTAGTTGTGTTACAGGATAAATAATTTTTGCCAGTGCTGCTTTATTGCCTGGTTATTTTTTACTTCTTACATACACACAATCTTAGTAATTCATGGATTACCTATAGTAGAAATTACTTTGACTTTTGTAGTAAGTTACCGTCCATATAGAACTACATATCCAAAGACCCTCTTCAGTCCCTTGTTCATAATTTCTGGCTGCTTAATGAACACTTTTTCTGTTTCTGAAATGCAAGTACCTCAGAGTTGGAAAATTAAAGCTATTAAATACTGTATTGTAGTAATATCTAACAGTTTGAGACAGAGTGAAAACCACACTGTGAATTTTAGACAGAGCAGATAAGCAGATGTTTATCACCTTTCTGTGGTAAACAGAAAGGATTTAGCCAGGAGATAAAATTAGTTTTAAACCATGTTGAAACTCATTCAGTGAATTATAGATATGTGTTGGAAAGGATTACTGTGCTTTATTAAATGCTTTCTATTAGGGAGTCACTAATTCATGGTGGTAGCAGAATAAAGAGCTCACAGTGAAGTTTTCCTAAACTTTGGAATGCAAATAAGTGTCTTGAGTTTTGCATAAGGCCCTTCTTTTTGCAATAAATGGAGTCAAAGTGGATCAATGCAGATCCTCATTTCCCAGGAGAATTTTTCATAGAAGTAGTCTCTGTACTGTACAGATAAAAATTCTAAACAGTCTGTAAGATGTAACAAATCATAGAAAGTATAACCAGGTGGATCCATGCTTCTTGAGGGCTAAAGCAAGTCAGAGGAGCCTTGGCTTACCTGCATTGATGCTCTTGTGACATTAAGAACAGAGAAATAATGCGAGTGTTCACTCTCTTCATTGAACTTGGCAAGGCTTTGCACAGCAGCCTCCAAATATTTGGGCTCACTTGGACTGTCATCAACTGGGCAGTCAGGACATATTCTCCAAATATGTCTACGTGGAACTTTTTATTCAAACAAAACAATATCATTAGCAAAAGCATAACCATAAGACCATGTTGATAGTGTAGGTCAATATACATGCATCTATGCCCCCAACCCTTCCCACTTGCCATCCAGTCCAATGGAGTAACCATATGTGGTTTAATTCATTCCGTGATTTATGAATTTGCAGACCCATAAAAATGCTACAGTCGAGGCAGAGGTGCTGCAGAAAAAAGTTCAACCTGCTGACAGTCAGTTTGCTGTTTTTACTTGCCTTTCATAAACCCGTAAAAATGCTTGTTGGACCAGAGGGTAATTGCTGCGCTACTTTGAGCTGCAGGAGAACCCTGATCTCATGATCATTCACTTGCAAAAATGATGACAGCTGAAAGCTAATAGAGGTGGTGTGGTGCCATGGTTGGAATTAAAATTTGAAGTAATGCTATATGGCAAAGAGTGTTTTTCCAGTCCTCTCTTAAAGTGAGTGTTTTAAATAAAGACATACCTGGTTGTAAAGTGCACTCATAAGTATTCAGATGAGCAATATTTCTTGCCTGATTAATGTAGATAGCTGCTTTGCATTGACCATAAACCTAGAACAATATAAACATTTAGAAACAATTAATATTGCACCCCTTGCATTGTTCACCTAGTTCCAAGACAGTGAATGGTTGATTTTCTCCTTACAGTCATGACATTCTTTTTAAAAAAAAAAGTTGTGTTAATACTTAAATGGCAATGAAACCCATTTCTAAGTATCTCCTTTAGAAACAAAAGGCCAGATCTTCCCCTGGTGTAAGCCTGAGTTGTACAGGTGCAGTGTTTGTCTGCAGGATGGCCAACACAAGGTCACTCTTCTGGCAGCTAAAAAGTGCCCAAATGTCACTGAGTACTTTCCCTGACAGGCCCTGCACCAGGAGCTGGGTCTGTGTCTAGAACCCAGAGAGCTCAAACCTGGAGATCAGCTCAGAGTGATTGGTCCAGTCACCTGTCTTCCACCTTCCTTCTTCTCCCTATCTCCATCACTCTTGCACACAAAGTGACTCTGACTTCATGGTAGAAAAAAATACTGGCATATTAATATCCATTGTCCCTGAATGTATATTCTCTGTGTGCTTCTTAAATATTGGCACATGTATGAATGACCGAGGCCTCAAGAACATACATTTCTTGACTTCACAGAAACTATATCCAGTAAATATGCTGTGCACCCCTTTCCTTCTGAAAGCACTGTAGGCAGACATTAGCAGAATTCTTTTTACTTTTTCCAGTTTTTTGTTAAAAAGTGTAACCTTATTGTCCCAGAACAACTTAATCCTAACTTTTTGGTTTGGTTTGGTTTGTTCTTCATGTGAAGCTTTTTTCTTGTCATTCTGAATTTTAAAAGATTTTTTTTCATTTGTTCAGAGTCATTTTGGGCACTTGTAGCAACAGCCTTAGATCAGTTTCTGTCTTTGCAGCTTATCTTGCTGAGCTTTCTTTTTTCTCCTCTCTCACTGCAAATTTTGCAAAGTTGTCAGAATAGAAGTGGAGTTAAACTAAACAATCACATGTTAAATAAAAATGAGTTTATTTTATTCCCTACTTGACACTTGCAGTGTTTCCATAAAAAGTAAACCCTTTATTCTAAGCTGTGTCCTACCGTGGCTGTTTAGCAATGTCTGCTTATTAGCTCTGGTGAAAAACTTACTTTTAATTTTCAGTTTTAAAAATAAATCTTAGCAGTGTATAAACTGATTAGAAAGTAGAGAGGAAAACTGTGGAACTTAAAAAAGGGGTGTTTATTTCTTCTGAGCTCTGCTGCCTAGTAAAATACACATGTAGAGATTTTGCTGTCATCAATAGTACCCAAGTAACTCATCATACTGGAGTTGAAATAAGAAAATAAAATCCTCACAGTTTTATGAGCAAGTCTGGGTGCACAGTCCTTCCACAACTTCCTGCTG